TGATAAAGAACCTTGAACCTTGAACCTAAATCAAGAGCTTCGCTTTTGCGGTCAGCTCTCTCTTTACCATGACAGACTGGTACAGCGTCTAAATGGCCATTCACCTGTTACACCGCCTATTTGTCAAGCTTCCTAGTCTCACGTTCAGCTGTTGGAGGGTGAGATCTTCGCTGTGGTATTGATGGTATTTTCCTGGGTATTGATATTGAATCTAACTTAAAGCAACTCTGTTGCTTGTGAAGCTCGCACACAAGAATTTCACTCACATGTACTGTACCAATGTACCTGCACGTGTGATGTGACAATAAAAGTGATTTGATTTGATTTAAAATTCGAGTGTCATGATGACTCTACCTAAATCGTGTAATGAATGCTTCAGTCTGCTCTCAGATGCTGCTGTTAAATTCAACATCATTTTGGTAGTGTTCTTTTTTTTAAAGACATTTTTAATAAGCACCCGCCAGCTCGGTTTTTCAACTTTTTTATTTCTCATGGTGTCTCATTTTGACACCACTGATCATGCCACTTACCAACAAGTTACACAAGTGACATCAGTGGCACTGTTTACAAGTTTTGGCATACTTAAGGTCCCTGAGTTGTTGACCTGTGGCTTTGTGTTTTATGGATTCATGATGTATTCTTTTGGATTTGTCATAGTATTCATGTTCAAGACTTATTTTGTCCCCTGTTTAAATTAGTGCTTCTGAGTTTGTCATCTTTGCTTTTAGTTCTTGGTTTCTCTTTAGATAAGAAGTTATTTCTGTTTCAAGTTAGATGGAAACATCTACATATAGGCAAATAAAAATCTTCAAAATGTAAGAGAACTGTTTTTATTATTATTAATTTTGTTAGATTTTTTTTAAATATCGGATGTTGGAATTAATTGTATATAACTATAATAAATTTGGTACAAAAAACAGAGAGAGGAATTTAGTTCCTTTTCTGCTGTCAGCTCAGTCTGTAGAATTACAGTAGTAACAGGACAGGCTGTCATGTGTAGGCTGTGTGCAGGCAGGAGTGGTGGTAAGGAGGACCCAATGTACAAACACTCTGAGGCAGAAAGTAAACTCAAACTTTGATTTATTGCTAGATGGCAGACAGAGAACTAACAAAACTAAAAATACAAAAACTAAACTGAAAATAACAATAAACTGAACTGACAAGCAGACAGACCACACAGCATGAAATGAGGGTAGATCACAACATAGACAGAGGAAAACACAGAGCTTAAATACACAGAGGGAGCAATCAGGGAATGAGAGACAGGACGAAAACACAGCTGGAACAAATCAGGCCTAGTGAGACAAGGGAAGCAAAACCAGATACATTAACATAGGACACAGACTTTTAAAGTAAAACAGGAAACATAACACAGAGGACTTAACAAGGGGATACAGCTGAGAGGGGAGACAGAGCAACTACGAGCACAGACAGAAACCAGAAGGCAGTACTCTAACAAAGAAACCAAAAGATTAGAAATGATGAATAAGGGCAAAATCAAAGTTCAACAGCAATGACAACTCAAAACTCTGGGTCAATGACCCAAGTCTCCTAACACAGGCACAGAGATGAGTCCATAGTCAGAGGCCATAAGATCATTTGTAACCTTCACTAGTGCTGCTTCAGTATTGTGATTACTTCAGATTAATTATTATTCTCATTAATTAATGAGAGTACTTCTTTCAGCAGTCCTGTACTAGGCTCTGACAGACATGTTGATGGCTTGGAGGAAGTGATTATTGAAGTTAATTAAGAAAGATAAATCAGAGAAAAAGAGTCAAATAAATATCAGTAGCATTAAAGATGTAAAGGATTTATCTGTGGGAGGTTATGAATTTTTTTTGATGGTTAAAATGTTCTTTGGAAACAAATTCATGAAGTGCCAGAACTAGTGATAGTTGGATAATGTAGTGATAAGACTACACACCTTTGGAGCGGGAGTTCAGTTCCCACCCAGTTTTCAGTAAGGGTCCTGGCTAAATCCCCCATGCTAAAAACCAAGCCCCGGAATGGCGTGGCTACATCTGCAGCAGGGACGCAAAACATTTCACTCCATGTTGTACTTTGTATGATTGTGTATGGGACAAATAAGGCTTGTTTGTTAGTTAAATTATAGGATCAACTGAGCGCTGACGTTTTGTCAGCTTACAATTATAATTAGCTACAGTGCTGAAAATAAACCTTTGGTTGGTCTCATTATATTCAATCAGCGATGAATTGTAAGATGTCCGAGCTTTAGGGAGGGTTTTTCTTTTTAATTGAGACACTTCTAATTGCTACTTTAGCACTTCTGATTTTATAGTCCAGTAAAGTCACACTAAATACATTCAGCAGCCTCTTTACTAGGTATGCCTCTTCAACTGCTTGTTAATATAAATATCTAATCACCCAATCAAGGGTCAGCATTTAGGCATTTAGACGTGGTGAAGAAAACCTGCTTAAGTTCAAATGAAGCCCCAGAAATAAAAGTGATTGAGAGTGACATAGTAGTTTATACCTGACAGGCTGGTCTGAATGTTTCAGAAACTGCTAATCTACTTGGATTCTTTCAGACAATTAGGATTTACTGATGGTCTGAAAAAAAATAAAATTCAGTAAGCAGCAGCTTTTCTGGGTAAATTAACCTTGTTGATGTCAGAGGTCAGGCGAGAATGGACAGACTACTTCAAGCTGATAGCAAGGTAACATTAAATCGAATAGCCACTTGTTACAACTGAGGTACAACACTGACCTTGTTGAAGCTATGCCACAAAGCTCTGAAGGCAAAAGGGGGTCCAACCCCATACTAGAAGGTATATAGGCATGTCAACTAAGACAGCCTTACAATATCCAGAGCCTTCAGGAAACTAGGATGAACCTCCTCCTCCCTAGGGGCCCTGACACTAATGATTTAACTGCCTGAGAGACCAGGTAACTGTCGGTACCTATAGCTGCCTCTGAAGGCCCATGGGCTACCCAAGCCTGAGCGGACTCCTTCAACCTGATGTTCCCTTCACCTCTGGTGTCCACCATCTGGTTCAGGGATTATTACCATGACGGGCACCAACCACCTTGTGGCTGCAGCTCCTTTAGCAATGGAGGTGCTGAACATGGTTCATTTGACCCCAGTCTCCCTCAGAATGCTGTTGAAGCTCTGCCGAAGGTAGGAGTTGAAGATCTTGTGGACCAGAGCCTCTGTCATGCGTCCCCAGCACACTCTCACCATACATTTAGGCACGCCAGGTCTATCCATCATCCCTCTGCAACCTGATCCAACTCACCACCAGATTAGGTTAGTAGTTCACAATTAAGCTTCTCTCTTCACCTGAATGTCCGGAACATATGACTGCAGATCTGATGCATCCATCCATACATCCATCCATCCATCCATCCATCCATCCATCCATCCATCCATCCATCCATCCATCTTCTTCTGTTTATCTGGGGCCGGGTCGCGGGGGCAGCAGCTTAAGCAGAGAAGCCCAGACCTCCCTCCCCCCAGCTACCTCCTCAGCTTATCCAGGGGAATACCAAGGCGTTCCCAGGCTAGCCGAGAGATATAATCTCTCCAGCGTGTCCTGGGTCTGCCCCGGGGCCTCCTCCCGGTGGGACATGCCGGAATACCTCACCCAGGAGGCACCCAAGAGGGTGGATTAATAGTATAATATGGGTTAGCGGAGAGGTCCGCGCAGTGCTCAGAGCAGACTACAGCCTTTAAATACGGAGACCCAGGTGAATGCAAAACATCCCGGTATACACTCAGGAAACCAATAAAGAAGGTTAAAGAAGGGCAGTACAAAGAAAAGGTGGAACTCTGCTACAGCAACTCCAACACCAGGAACATGTGGAGTGGTCTGAAGACCATCACAGACTACAAGGGAAACAGCGGCAGAGTGAGGGAGGTAACTGCTTCTCTACCTGATGAGCATGTGTCTTCACAGACATTTTTAACCTTTCCCTGCTCCAGTCTGCTGTCCCAAAATGTTTTAAGAGGACCACCATCATCCCTGTCCCTAAGGAAATGAATGTGAGCTTCCTAAATGACTATCGCCCAGTAGCACTCACCTCCATTGCCATGAAGTGCTTTGAGCGTATAGTCAAAGCTCACATCACATCTTTACTCCCTGCTTCACTTGATCCGTTCCAGTTTGCCTACAGGCCCAACAGATCTACAGACGATGCAATAGCAGTTGCACTTCACACTGCCCTCTCTCACCTGGACCAGAAAAACACATATGTCTGGATGCTGTTCATAGACTACAGCTCCGCCTTCAACACCATCATACCATCCAGACTCGTCATGAAACTCCATGACCTGAACATCAGCTCCTCCCTGTGCAGCTGGATCCTGACACACAGACCTCAGTTGTTTCGGATCGGCAGCAACAACTCATCCACACTCACACTCAGCACAGGTGCCCCCCAGCGATGTGTGCTCAGCCCCCTGCTGTACACGCTGTTCACCCACGACTGTACAGCAACACAAAGCTCCAACACCAATGTTCCCTCTAAGCTGCGCGCCTGCGCAATTGCGCACTGCTGGCACGGTCTCTGCGCTCAGAAAATCTGCATTGCGCACAAAAAAATCTAACCTGAATTGAAATTAATAATATTTTAACAATTCTGTTTTGCAGTGTTAGTCAGTGAGTGACTGGCTGCTCCCGTATGGGATTAGAACGATGCCACCTTATCCCATAGTCCAGCCAATAATGCGATTTACATTCGTATACACGCAGCTAATCAACATCGTTGACAGGCTGTGACAGCTAGCAAAGCGGCGTGGCTGATGTGGAGTGAAGCCACGTTAATGACAACGTGTACAACCATTGGAGATGTGAGCAGGACAGACGGAACAATTGACAGAAAAAGTGTGGACTTTATACCAGTTTTCAAATTGTGTTGATCGACCACGTAAAACCAGAGTTATGATAAAAATTAGAGGGAACATTGTCCAACACCATCATCAAATTTGCAGACGACACTACCATCATCAGCTGCATTTCTGATGGAGATGAGGCAGTATACAGGGCAGACGTAAGAGTCCTGACATCATGGTGCTGCAACAACAACCTGCTGCTTAACGTCAGCAAAATCAAGGAGCTCATCGTGGATCGCAGGAGACTGCAGAGAGGAGGCCACACCGCCATCCACATCGAAGGAGCAGAGGTGGAGAGGGTCAGCTGCTTCAGATTCCTGGGCATCAACATCAGCGAGGCTCTGAGCTGGTCACACCATGTTGATGTGCTAACAAAGGCAGCAAGACAGCGGCTGAGAAGATTCAGCATGAACCTCAGAATACTTACAAGCTTCTATCGATGCACCATTGAGAGTATTCTGACTGGCTGCATCACCATCTGGTACGGCAGCTGTAATGCTCTGGACCGTAAAGCTTTGCAGAGGGTGGTGAGATCAGCACAGTGCATCACCAGGACTGAACTGCCAGCCATGCAGGATCTCTACAGACATCGCTGCATGAGGAAGACGCAGCAGATCCTCTCTGATCCCAGCCACAGACCTTTCACACTCCTGCCGTCCGGCAGGTGGTTCAGGAGCATCCAGACCCGCACTACCAGACACAGAGACAGTTACCCACAAGCCATCAGACTTTTGAACTGCTGACATTCCATACACACAACTACACACTCGCTACAATTACAGGACTTTGCACACTGTCTCTTCAACAAATGCCACTTAAATGCTCGTTGCACAACTTTGCACAAACTTGTAAATACCACCTTGTCTTAATTCTCTAATATTATTACTTTGTTTTTCTCCTTTTCTCCTTGTCATTGTTATTAATATTATTATTACTACTGCTAAATTCTGTTATTTTCTCCTTAATAAACTGCACACTCTCTATATGCTCATGTAAGGCTGAGGAGCACGAGCCAAAAACTTTCATTATGGATAAATGTGGCTACACTGTTTATCTGTACACGACAATAAAACTTGAAACTGAAACAGACCGGTGCAGCATCCGCATCACTGCAGACAAGAAAGCCTAATTTCTGCTGTTCAGCACTGAAGAAATGTAAACTTTTACAAATTCTGCCAAATTGCAAAACGCTTAGCCGTGTTTCTAATAAAACCTCTCTAACTTTGCTCTGCTTCACTTCAGCGGCATCAGGTAATGTTCATATGTTGATTCATGGTTTTCTTCAGTTTTTGATCTACTGCAGAATATTTTTAAGGTGGTTATCGGCTATAAAAAGCCAGGCCAGAAAATTTCCTTTATATTTTTCTGTGTTTTATCCTTTACTTCAGTTACTCTGACACAACGGCATCTGCTGTGATGCTTGCACCTCTGAGTCTCACAAGTGTCATCTTTGTTTTAGATTTAAAAATATGGATATGTACTGATAAATGATCAGAATTATAATATTTCTGACTGTCTGAGTCAAAATTGAATCCAATTAAATTGGGACCTTGTCATTCAGAACCGAATCAGTTATAGAAATCAAATCGATACCCAGCGCTAGTCCAAAACTGTAAGTGGAGCCACAAAAGAGAAGATGAACATATCCACAAAGGTTTTTACAATTACTATATTCATAATGTATTTAAATAGATTTATAATGCCAGAGCCACGTCCTGGATGTTGAATTTTATGGTTCTTGTTCTGCTTTTATTCAGACATTATCACAACATTGCAACACATCATTTTCATATTGTCTTTTTTTGTATTCACATTAGCTTTGATATGTTTTATTTGTGCTTATTCTATGGACTGATTTTTACACACATCCAACTAAACCGGTCACTGACAATACATTTTCTGAACTGAACTTCAATTTCCATTTCCTAGCACTACAATCTGGACAAATGTTTTGCTTTCTTTATTATTTCCCAGCTATAGTTACTATTTCACAAATCAAGTTTTTGATCTATCTACAATACATAGTACACCCTTTACTAAGCTATGAGTTTCAGTGCAGTACTGTTACAGTATATATTTTTACTTCCCCCACAGAAAATATCATACCGGAACAGTGTGTCTAACACTGCATCATGAAAGAGACTACAGTTATGATGATGGTCCTGTCAGGTCAGTTTGAATTATTTATTTCCACTTCATTTATTTTCATTGTTTTAATTGCACAAAGAAAACAAAATGTGTGCATTTGTCTATGATTTTTTGACCACAAATTAAAAATTGAGTTTGTTTTCAAATGCTT